ATATTTTACAGGCCATTAGAAACTAAAGTAGATACTACTATTCTAATTGTACGTACGGCATGTGTTTTACATAATTTTTTACGAAGTAAAAGTGGCGATGACAAATATTTTCAATTCTTAGATCCCCCAGAACCCGTGCTTGGAGCTTTTACTGATATAGCAAATGATCCTCGGCGGGCAGCAAGGCTAGCATTTTCTACTCGTGACAAATTCGTAAATTATTTTAATTCTGATATGCCTATTTTTTGTAGACTGTAAATTATTTAACAAGTTAATAAAAAATATTAGGTACAAACCATTTGTATTTAATTCTTTTCCTATTTCCATCCAAATCTTGTCTTTCTTTCTCACGTTCCTGTATTCATAGTTCCACAAATCATACAAACAAGGATACTTTTTCACTATTTCTATCAATAATTCCGTTTTTGCCATTGCGAATTTTTGAAGAACGGCGTCAAAAACGCGGTCAAAGGCGAACTGAAATACGCCGCGATAAAAACGCTGGAACAATCGCATTCGCTTCGCACAAGTCTGAGCCTGTCCGTAAACCGCCGCGTTTTAATCTGATCGCGAATTCATCGCCGCGAAATTTTCGCAGCCAAAGCGAATATTTCGCGCCGGTTTGTGGGATGCTTTATACTTATTAAGAATCGCTTTTTATTTTGCTAATGTTGTTTGTTTCAGTTTTTCGTTTTTCATTAATTAATATATATTATAAATTTTCCACTTTTCATACTTTTCCCTAAATGCGGATCCCAATCCGGCAACACCGCAGGCAAGAGCCTCTCATACATAACATTAGCACAGACGTCAACGTCATATAGCAGATGGCGGTGGAAATAATGGTGAAAATAACTGCTAAAAATACAGTCTTGGGAAAAAATGTTCTAGACAAACGTGCTTCATTCACACTTTTTGTCATTTAAAATAATCTATCGGAATGCCCTCTTTAAGTTTCGAGTGAAAAAACAGCGAAATTCGAAGTTCTACAAGACGCAACAGTACCAGTATTTTAATAATTTCTTAATATAATAAGGTAAAAAAGTTAAAACTCTTAATTTTTATTTCTCAAGTATTGTAATCCCGAACATTTTCGAAAATGATATATCATGTTTTTTGGATTTTATATGACATGTGCATCACGAAAAACCATGTCATCACTCATCTGCATCTGTCGGTTTGTCCGTTAATCCTGTAATCGCCTATAACTTGAGAAGTAGGTACCTACCGCTTGGATTTTGATGAAATTTTTACACAATGTTAATACTATGCCGAGGACGGAAAATCTTTGTCGTTTTTGAAAATAGGTCCAGTTGCGGTCGAGAACAAAGGCAAAAAACAAAAAACATAAATCGCTCACATGTTTTCGACGCTTTGGAGAAAAATTTAGAGGGAAAAAGTTGGGGCTGGGTCACACGTGAAACTAACAAAACTTATAGTATTATTATAATATTGGTAGCCCACGAATAGATCTTTTCAAATAGACCAAGTTTGTTAAAATGGGCTCAGCCGTTTCGAAGATGTAGAGTGTTTTCTACGGAAACCTTTCAATATTCCTCCACCACTTTATTTTTAGAAACACAGCAAAAAATGTCAATCAAAAAAGTACGCATTGTCTTTTAAAGGTATTTTTTTGATAGGTCAATATAGCGAAATTCATAGAAGCATCACTTTTTTAGATTCAAGATTGCAGTTACGGCCCCTATCGGACATTGAAAATATTTTCCAGGTTTTTCTCTTGGCCTTTTTAGTGAGAACTTTTTTTGCCGCAAGCCTCTACGATGGGTAGGTTCTCAGATACAGTATCTTCTGATACTTATTCATCACTGATACTACAATACTTTTTGAATATTTGCGTTTGCAAGTTTTTCTTCGCTGAAGATTATAAAAATCATCTTCGTTTTATAATAAACCAAGAACAATTGGTTAACTTATCCATGTTTTCCAATGAAAGGTGTTCTGGATTAAGTTGACTGAAGCTTTTTATATTTGAAATATATCTGAGTCAACACTCACTTTCGTAGAGTGCATCGGCTTTTGTTCTTCATTCTTCACTATGGCTTAGGATTATGAAGATTCAAATATTAGACGCGAAAACTTTGAAGTGGTTCCTGATAGATTCGGGATAAAATAAACTAAAGGTTTAATGAACGAATAGTGACCAAAGGAGGCATTCAAAAGAAATAGATGTTTTATTAAGTTACTGAAAAGTTTAACAAAACGGAGCATGAAAACATCTCTAATAGATCTGTCTTTCTAAATGAAAAAAAACTCTGAAAATCTGATATTATTTGAAGAATATAAATATACGTATACATGAGTTTGTTTTGTTTATTATTTATTAATAAATGGAGGCCTCATTTAGTTTTTCCGTCCCAAGTCTCCGATGGGCTGAGTTCGCCACTGGTGGCGTTACATATTATTTCAAGGCGCAGCAAAATCTTCAAAGTTTATTTTTTATATAATTGAGTAGTAGTAGTCTCAAAATGAAAGTTCAAAGAAGACCTAGCAATGAGTTTCGCTTTCTTCAAGCAAAGTCATTATTTTACATTGTTTCGAAATCCATTTAACAACAAATTTTGATCAACATTGTAAGTAATTAAATGTAATGTTGACTATATAGTTACTAACCAATTGGAGCCTCGTATGATGGTGTCAATGGGAAATAATAATTCATTTAGATCGTGATGAACTAATTACCTTCAACGTAATATTGCTGTTTTTTACACCTTGTATGATTATTGCTCAACTATAATATTCTTGGAAAACATAATCACCGAGCTGAACTCTTGCTAGACATTAATAATATAGCAATCCATATATGTATGATTCGATGCTTGTTCCGCCATTTTTGAAATGTAGTAATTCTGATAACAGATTCGTAATTCCCGGCACGAAAATCTTAGAATATAAATTTGCAGATAACTTCATCAAGTTTCAGATTTTCGTCTTTTTGAAGATTGATGTGAATAATACTCAATAAGTGTGAGTGACTGATGTGTTCTTAAAAACGGTTCATTTTATTGAAATTAAACTAGGATACGTTCTTTCAGATAAAGTGTTAGGCTTCTTTAAAATATTATTTTTGTGCCATTATTATACAGGGTGGAAAAATCCACAATATGAATAGTTAATCATTTTCCATTGACACTATTATGTGAGACTCCACTACAAAGCTCTTGAACTTTCGTTGAATTGTACAGTTTCATTCACGAGCTGTTTAGAAAAAGTTCTAGTGACACCATTTAGGGGCCTGCCTATTTTCTGTGTTCTATGTACATCTTATTCTGGCAGACCCTGTTTGACGGCCTAATAAACTAACTTAAAAGTTAGTTGAATCAACTGTTGTTTGCAAATATTTGAACATCACGGGTATCTGTTCTCTCTATTTTTTCTTGGCAGTATGTGTTATTTAGGGTGTCCGCAAAGTTGGGGTTTTCCTTTGCAGACACAACTAAGCTTGATATAACAAAGCTAATGTGTGGTGAAACGTGAGCGAACAAGTAAAAAAAAGAAATGAAAAAGTACTCACTGTTCAGTTGAATTGAAATTCGAAATACGGTCCTGTCGTATTTACATCATAGTCGTACGCCGTATAATTGTACGCTGGCGTTGTGGACGTTATCGAGGGATAGGACAGGACCAGCACCTTGTATTGCCGAATACTTTTTATATTCAGTCTTCATATATCATTCCCAAATATTTTTGTATTTGAGGAAATTCATTACATTATAGCTGAATTTCTTATTGATAACTGCTGTCTTATATTTGCTCCTGTTTTCCTAATAAAATTGTGATATTATTTTATACCCTTGCAACAAATTGAAATTATAGGGATGTTGACCTAAAAGAATGTAGACAGGTTGTCCATGAGGCAATTAAGAAAGGCATCAATTACATCGATACAGGTCCTTGGTATGGTCATGGACAGGCTGAGGAAATATTGGGAAAGTGAGATTGTTTGGGGTGTTATAGGAGTATGAAATTTTTAATGAAATGAAACATTGAGATATTATAAAGACTTTACTTGTAAGTATTGTTAGGCTAACGTGAAAATAGCAGTAACAAATTTCAAGATGGCGGCTGAGCATCATCTTGTACCTTTTTTTAATAGAATGAAGGATCGTGTGATATGGTATTTTGAAGATCCTTATGAGTACTTTACAATTCTACAATCTAAAATCACTGTGTCGCAAAATTGCTTAGTGGAAAGATGTCAAAGCTAAAGCGTTTTCGTATATTGAATCGCGTATAAGTCAACAACTAATCATCAACAAGCTGTTTGAAAAAATGACAGATTTTGATATATTATTTCAAATTAAGTGTTTCATATTTTATTACATATTACGATGGACCCTTCCAAAAGAAGAAGATTGATACGCTCAACTTTGACAGCCTGCCAGTACGACATTTGCAAAAAAGTTGATTTTATATTTTCGGGTTATAAGAATCTTCAAAATGATGTATCACATGATTCCCATTCCATTTAAAACATTTTTCTAAAATTTATACTCCAACTACCACGAAGGCCTAAGGCCTAAACACCCATTGGGTACCGTGGGGCTATGGGGGATACAGGGGAAAGGAGGGACGCCACACGGACTCTGGCGAGGGAAGACGTGTGCTTGCAACATGCACACATTCTGGCTCCGCCTACGAGATCCGCCGGGTGGTACCTCCGCGTTCGACAGTCAGACCGTCTACCATCTACGGACACTCACAACATCCATAGCCAAGAGAAAAATTTCCTCCTGATCAGGAGACCGAAGAGTCTACTACTGCGGCCACCCAGCCGCCATCTTGAAATTTTGAACTAACAATTTGAAGCTAAAATATAGTATTTGTGCATTAATTTTTAGTACGAATTCCAGCTTGACGCGTTCAAAAAATAAGTAGAGGCGTCCTTTTTGAAAAGCACTCTATGATACTTGGCCCAATAGATGCGTAATTTTATTTACCTCATTGTTTTGAAAGTGTGTGGATCAACGTATATTTTTTAGTGTTTGGAGGGAATTCCAAGGAAAGCATACTACCTGGCTACAAAGGTGGGAAGATATGAGAAGGATCCATCGTTGATGTTTGATTTTTCTGCAGAAAAGTCAAAACGTAGTATTGAAGACTCATTGAGCAGACTAGGGACTGACTATGTTGATGTGATTCAAGTGAGTTTTAGGAGAGGACCTAATTTCTTTTTAGAGCTATCTGTATTTGCGTCTACGAGTATAATGACGTGTACAAAAACCCTTGTTCCATTAATATTAAAAACATTTTTGGCGATCCTTATGTATTTATTCAAGGACGTATCTTTGCATCTGCTAGAAAACATTTTCTGGTTCATTTTTTGCATAATCTTATTCGAAAAGGACCTCTTTTGATGAATCTGCATGATGCCAGGTCTAAAGTTCATCAAAACGTATTTAACCAATTTTTTATAAACAAATTCCAATAATTGTTTTG